CCCCGCGGGCCGCACCCTGGCGAGGGGGCAGAGGGAGGGGTCGGGAGCGGGAGCGGAGGGAGGTGCGGCAGGGGGGGGGGCGACTCGGGACAGCGGAGCAGGAGCGGGAAGGAGCAGGAGCAGGGCGGAGGAGGAGGAGGAGGAGGAGGAGGAGGAGGAGGAGGAGGAGGAGGAGGAGGGGCAGGATGGGGGGCGGGAGCGGGGCGGGAGCCGAGAGAGGGGCAGGAGCAGGAGCAGGGGCAGGAGCGAGCAGCAGGGAGGCGTGCGAGAAGGGGAGGGCAGGCGCGCAGGAGCGGGGCCCTCTCGCCCCCCCGCGCGCTGGAACAGCCCCCCGTGGCGAGCCTGGCGCACGGCTTGCCGTGCTGACCCCGCGGCGTCTCGCAGGGGGGGTGGGCGGGCGGGCGGGCGTCGGCCGTTGGGCCGGGGGGCCGCTGCGCAAGGATCGCATCGGGCGGTCTCACCGCAGATCTCTCCCTCTCCCTGTTTCGTTCTCTCCATACGTATGTATATATATATATGTATATGCATAAACATATACACTTGCATATGCATGTATGTATGTAGGTAGGTAGGTAGCTAGGTAGGTAGGTAGGTAGCTGGGTGGGTGGGTGGGTGGGTGGGTGGGTGGTAGGTAGGTACGTAGGTAGGGATGCATGCATGCATGCATGCATGCATGCATGCATGCATGCATGTATGTATGTATGTATGTATGTATGTATGTATGTATGTATGCATGCATGCATGCATGTATGTATGTATGTATGTATGTATGTATGTATGTATGTGTGTGTATGTATATATGTCGATATGCATGCATGTACGTATGTATGTATATCTTTACCTCTCCCCCTCCCTCTCTCTCTCTCTCTCTCCCTCTCGCCCTCTCTCTCTGGTCTCTTGCCGTTGTCTCGCGCGCCCGCCAGCCGCCACTGCCAGAGGGCTCGGCCCACTGCCAGCGCAAACGCTCGCCGCACGGTCGTGTCGCTGCAGTGTGGCCGCTTGCCGCGGCCTCGGCGCCCATCGCCCCGCGGGGGCGGCCCGGGCACCTCCTGGACGCCCCCTCTGGAGGCCGCCGAAGACTGCAGCGAGGGTGGGGCTGATCTCGGCCTGTCGCGATTTCCCGCCGTCAAACCATGCCGTCGTGGAGTGCCTTGGGGGGCCTCTCGGGCCGTCTTGGACCTATCTTGGGCGTCCTGGAGCGGTCTTTCGGCGACTCGGGGCCCGCTTAGGCCGTCTTTGGAGCCTCTGGAGGCCCTCCTGGACTATTTTGGACCTCCCCGGCCGCCCCGTCCTCCCACGGGGGGTCGGAGTGCTTGGGCAAGCGCTGGGTTTGGGGAAGGCGTGTGTTCATTCCTGGAACCAGGAGTGGAGCGGCCGCGGCACGGTGCATGGCGCCTCCGCGCGCTTCCGTGTAGCATCCGAGGAACAGGGGGACTTTGCCCGCCACGGAGTGAGTGAGTGAGTGAAGGCCTCGTTCATCTGCGTTTCCCACGCGAGGATGCTGATGACGGTGCCGATGGTGATGGCGGCGGTGATGGCAATGAGTATCGTAATGGTGGCGTTGGCGATCACGACCGCGACAACGATGTAAACGACGACCACGACAATGACGGCCGATGGTAACGACGATGATGACGATCACGACAATGAGGATGACGACGATAACGACGATCACGATGCAAATGATGACGACGTCCACGGTGACGATGACGATGACGGTCAGGACAACTACACATACAAGGAAAGACCATACTGTTGTTGATGATGATGAAAAGGAGGAGGAGGATTATGATGACACTGAGGATGCGAAGGGTGCTTACGCGATAATGTTACAGCTGTCGTCGATGTGGTTGATGATGGTGGTTATGATGAAGGGATCTGGTAATGATGCGGACACTGACGACCCTGATCTTGAGTTTGATTGTAACGAAGATGTCGTTGACCATGATGGTGACGATAGGATGATAATGATGTTGGTGATGATGGTTTTGGTAACGCTGATGATGAGGATGAGGATGAGCTGATGATGATGATGGTGATGATGATGGTGGTGGTGATGCTGCTGCTGCGGCTGATGATGACGCTCGGCCTCCAAGAACTACTATCTAGGAGCGAAGCTCGTCCAGTCGCCTTATTGCATGGCGGGGTCATGCTCACCCCCAGTGCCAGGGTCCCGATGACCAGCGTGTTGCGCGGCCTCGCAAGGCCTCGGCCACGCCGCCAAGTTCCCCAAGCCGCGCCCAGCCGACTAGAGGGGCCCCAGGGCCCCAGGGGGACACCCACACGAAGGAGCCGAGGGGCCCGAGGCCGCCAGGCGGCCACACGGAAACCGTGCGCATTGGGCCGCTTGCGAAGCCCAAGCCGGCACCGCAGACGATTCCAGGCGAGACCAGCGCGGCGACGGCTCAGAAGAGCAGGAGCAAGTGAGGGGGACAGCACGCGCGCACCCACGGGCGCACGCGCGGTTTGGGCCGGCGCGCTCAGCATGAGGCCTTCCGCGCTGGCGGCAGCCAGCCGAGGGCGAAGCGAGCTCGCTCGGCCAGCCCCGAGCTCGCTCGGCCAGCCCCTGATGATGATGCTGATGCTGATGTTGCTGGTGATGATGACGATGATCATGATGATGGTGGTGATGATGACGCTGGTGATGGTGATGGTGGTTATGGTGATGATGACGAGGTTGTTGCTGATTATGATGATGATGTTGATGATTGCGGTGCTGCTGAAGATGATGGTGATGATGATAGTGGTGGTGGTGATGATGATGCTGATGATTATGGTGGTGGTGATGATGATGGTGTTGATGGTGATGATTTCGATGGGGATGGTCATTGTGATGCCGATGGTGGTGATTGTAGTGGTGGTGATGATGATGCTGATGGTGATGATGATGATGCTGGTGATGAATGCGAGACGGTGATGGTGATGGTGATGGTGGTGGTGATTGTAGTGGCGCCGATCCGGGGCGCTCCGCAAGATGATGGTCAGGATGATGCTGCAGGGGAGAGGGCAGGGAGAGGGTCTGCTCTGCAGGGGGAGTCCGCTCGGCAGAGGGAGGGACTGCAGGGGAGAGGGGTGGTCCGCTCTGAAGGAGGGGGGGGCTGCAGGAGAGGAAGTCTGCTCTGCAGGGGGGGGGGGGCAGGGGAGGGGGGGCGTCCGCTCTGCAGGGGGGGGGCTGCACGGAGCGGATGGTGGTGGTGATTTCTGGTCGCGTGGGTGCCGAAGGACAATCAATGCCTACGTGGGCACAGGCGGGGAGCCGACCACGCTGGTGTGCAGTACAGGCATGGACCTCGCAGTGCACTGCGGCGATTGTTGCTGCACCCCGCCGCGTGCCGCAGCACCTGCGAGTAAGACAGGAGCGACCTTTCCTAGGCACTTCAGGCCCGGAGGAACCGAAACGGTGATGGTCCATGGACGCCATCGCCCAGAGGTGGAATCGCCGCGAGGGAGCCACCGCCTGGGGGTGGCGCCATTTTTCCACTTGGTCGAGCGCCTTCGGGTCGTCGTACAGCTCGTCAATGGTTGCTCTGCGCTTCGCCAGCGTAGGACCCGCCGCGCGTGGGAGCCGCCCGCGTACGAACCGTCGCGCGGAAGCCGCTGCTGTAGGAACCGCCCATGGGGGGCGCAAGAACCGTCTGCGTGGGAGCCGCCGCGCGTAGGAGCCGCCTGCGTAAAAACCGCCGCCATGGGAACCGCCCTGGCGAAGACCGCCTGCGAAGGGGGCCGCCGCGGGGGGCGGCGCCGCTGCGGGAGTCGCTGCGCCTGAGTGGAAGCCGCCGCCGTGGGCGCCGCCTCCGCGGGAACCGCCGCCTTGGGCACCGCCTCTGTGGGAGACGCCGCGGGAGTTGCCGCATGGGGAGCCGCCTCCGTGGGAACCGCCGCCGCGGGAGCCGCCGTGGGAGCCGCCGTTGCGGGAGCCGCCGTGGGAGCCGCCACCGTGGGACCCGTCTCCTTGGGAGCCGTTGCCGTGGGAACTGCCGTTGTAAGAGTCGCCTCCGCGTGGAAGCCGCCGTCGTGGGAGCCTGCCGTGGGAGCTGCCGCCACGGTAGCCACGCTGGAGCCGCCGCCGTGGGAACCGTGGGGGCCGCCACCATTGGATCCATTTCCGTGGGAGCCTCCGTGGGGGCCGCCGCCGTGGGAACCGCCTCAACGGGAGCCGCCGCCGCGGGAGCCGCCCCAGCCGCCTCCGTGGGAGCCGCCGCCCTGGGAGCCGCCGCCGTGGGAACCGCCGCAATGGGAGCCGCAGCCGTGTCAGCCGATTCCGTGGGGTGGGCCGCCGAATGCCGCAAGTAGGAGCCCCCACGAGTGGGGCCGAAGTTGAATAGCACGTGCAAGCCGAAGGGGAAGAGGATGTAGTGGCACCGGATAGATAGGCCGCTCCCGTAGATTGCTTAACGCCGATGCCGCCAGCGCACGAGGGACACTTGGAACCCGAGGGGGACATGTAGGTGGACGTGAACGCCAGCGTGAACGTGAAACGCTGCACCGCCGTTACCAGAAAGCCGGGTCAGGTTCAGGAGGATGACGATTTATCGTCGCGTGGTTGCCGAAGGACAATCAATGTCTACGTGGGCACAGGCGGGGAGCCGAGTTCGCCGGTGTGCAGCACCAACATGGGCCTCGCGGTGCTGTGCGCGAGTGTTGCTGCACCCCGCCGCGTGCCGCAGCACCTGAGACAGGAGTGACCTGCCATGCACCACAGGCCAAGATGCTGATGATGCTGATGATGCGGATGGTGATGATACTGATGGTGATGGTCACGATGGTGACGACGATGTTGATGATTATGATGGTGATGGTGATGATGATGATGAGGATGACGATGGGGTTGACGATGGTGTGATGGTGGTTTGGACGGTGATGACGATGATGGTGGTGATGACGCTGATGATGATCATGATTCTTACGATGGCGGTGATGATGATGCTGGTGCTGGTGCTGGTCATCGTCAGCATCATCACAATCCGCATCACCGTCATCAGTTTCTTCTTGGCCGCCAGATGAAGTTGTCGGGGATCGACGCCAGCCAGCTGACCTACGCCTACCTCCTCAACGCGCTCGCCCACGGCGGGGCGTGGGAACCCGCCCTGCAGGCCCCGGTGGCTGGGGTGGGGGGGCATTCGCCTTGGGGAGGAGTGCCAAAATCTCCAAACATTGGGCACAAATCGGGCGCTCCAGAACAGGCATCGCCGTCGAGGACCGAAGGGGTTGACATCTCTTCCTCTGCGGAGGGCCGGCGGAAGTGTAACGAGGGCGGTTCCGCTGGCGGAAGCCAACAGAAGGCGGCTGAAGTAAAAGATGCGTCCCAAACAAATGACAACATTTTTCGGTTCAGGGTTCCCGGGATCGGCCAACTTTCGACGGCATGTTTGTTTCCGAAGTTCGTTTCTTGAGCTCCGTTTCGTGACCCCATCGGCCGTCCAACGTTGTCCAGGGTGAGGCGCTGGTCCCTGGGAAAGGGTCAAGATGCCAGGAGGGCCACGCGACGGAGCACCGGGGCCCTCGATACCAACAGCCGCAGGAGTGCGTATGATATTCGCGCCGATGGTGAGCCTGTTGTTGGTCCCAGGGCCCGCCCCGAAAGGTCCCCCCGGGTCACGGATGTGGAAGACATTGCCGTCGCGTTCTTCACGACTAGACGTAAGAGTGACCTTTCGCCAGAGTGACCTTTGGTGCGGGCCCAGTGGGGCCCTCCGGTCGCCGAGTGCGATGCGATAGTAGCGTCTTGCGCGTTTGGGTTTGTCCCCCCCGAGGTTCCCCCAAAGCCGCGCACCAAAGGTCATTCTGACCTAGGGTCACTCTTGCGTGTAGTCCATCTTTCTTCAATGCGCTTGAAAGTGTGGGGCAGGGTGGACGATCCCCAGGACATGTGTTAGCCCAGCGTGTGTCTACCCCGTGCAGCTCCACCACTAGCACGCGGTCTGTGTCGGCCATCAGCGCACCGCCTGCATATCGTTTCGAAAGGCTCCGTTGGACAGGCAGGTTTCAAGGGAGGAAAATCACCCGGACCCGATACTTGGCGTTTGCAAAAGGGCCCGGGCGTGTTTTAAGCAGCCCTGCCCTGTTTGATTCCTTCTTTGGGTGCGTTTGCTAAACGACGTCGCGTGTCGGGGTGATTCTTATGAGGGTGGATTTGTTCTGCTCTCTAAGGTTGGCGCTGACAGACGTCCTGAGGACCATCGCGAGCAGCAGCAGCAGCAGCAGCAGCAGCAGGAGGCCGAGGCTCAGAGAGGTCGGGTTTCGACCCTCGCCCTCGCTGCCGGGGCGCGCGCCAGAGCTGGACGAGCGCCCGCGCGGTTCTCCGGTGCTGCGTGCCTCGGGAGGGGCGCCTCACCCCCGCCGCTGCTGCCATCCAGGGCCTCTCCCTTTCGAGAGACGGGGCACAGCTTGCGTGTGCGGACCATCCCTGTGATCGACTAGCCCACGTCCAATTGCTGTTCACGTGGAACCCTTCACTTCGGTCTTCAAAGTTCTCACTTGAATACTTGCTATTAGCACCGAGATCTGCACCATGAGCTCTTTCGCCCAGGCTTACGCCAAAAGCTTCGCAACAAGCCCACATGCTCTCCAACTCAAAGAGTGCCTCGCCTCTCGCGGCATCGGGGGGCCGACATCTCTTTACACATCGGAGGGCGGCGGACGTCGGCGGCGAGCGAGGGGGGGAGTGAGAAGGGGGAAGTTTCGGGCTCGAGGTTCGAGGTCTTCGGCCGTTTTCTCTGGTTCTCTGCGGTTTTCCAACGTCGGAGTGCGTGCCAACGGCTGCGCCTCGCCGAGGGCGTTTCGGGGGGTGCCCGGATCGTCCCGAACGGCCACCGGAGAGCCGAGGTATGATCCAAAAACCACCAGGCGTCCGGAGCCGAGGCTCGAGGTCGGAAAGCTTTCCTCGATGCGCCTCGAGGGGGAGGAGGAGGAGGAGGAGGAGGAGGAGGAGGAGGAGGAGGAGGAGGAGGAGGAGGAGGAGGAGGAGGAGGAGGAGGCGGAGGCGGAGGCGGAGGCGGAGGCGGAGGCGAAGGCGGAGGAGGCCTCCGCTGACGGCGACGGGACCTGTCAGAAGCCCTCTGGCCAGACGAGATAAACTCTGCAAACGCCGGCTGGACGCGGAGCGGCCCTTCCGGGGGGCCGAGGCCGCCGAGGCGCGCACTGCCAAGACTGCGCCGCGCGACTCCCGACGAGCTGCAAGATGCGTCCAGCTCGCCGCGGACGCCCAGTGCTCCAAGAGCTGCTCGGCTCTGACCAGCGAGCCGCCGGCGTCGGTCGCCCCCAACGTCGTCGCGCATATGCGCGTCAAACGCCCGCGAAGCCGCCGCGCCGTGGACTCCGCCAGCCTCCCCAGCCTCCGGGCTGCCCACGCGGCTGCGGCCCTGCAGGTGGACGGGGACGCGGTCAGGCGGGAGGTGCGGGCCTTCCCGCGGGGTTCGGCTGCCGGGCTACCGGGCCTCCGACCACAACACCGAAAGGACGCGCTGCTCAACGCGGCCCACAGGGACGAGGTCGTCGACCAGCTGAAGAACCTCGTCAACCTCTGCGCCTGGGGACAGGCCCTGGACACCGTGCCCGAGCACTTCGCCGGAGCCTCTCTTGTGGCTCTGCCACTTCGCGCGAGCGAGCTGC